TTTTTACGACGTGTTGCTTGTGTGCGAGCGTGCGCGCGCAGACCGACTATCCCCACTCCATCCCCACCGCCGCGGCACCGTCCGTGCTAACGTTCACGGCTGGGAACACTGCGCTGCACGCTGCCCGTCCGCCGCTTACGCGACCGCTCGCACGTCTCCCCGCGCGGGGCCGCTAGGCCGACGCATCTCACCGCGCGCTTACATTCGCCAGTATAAGGTTGGGCTAATACGGCGATTTTTAAAATTTCGTATCTCGATAACTATTCGTCCAAGCGCAAAATAGTACAGGACTTTTCTGTTTGTCTTAGTCCCCACCTTCCCATGACCGGAAATCAATATGTTGCGTAGCACCCTGTATAGGCCTTGAATTTAAACAAGCCTCAATTTGTATTAATACGGTAGCTAGTTCTTCGAAAGTTAAAAGTGCAGAACCCATGATGCGTTTTAGGTGAAATTTACAAGATTTCACTCCTGCCTCCCACAGACCTCCCATGAGGTGACGAGGGTGGAATGAACTTCCACTCAATACCGCTTGGAATGCAGAATTCGTTGCTTATTGTTTCAGTCTCCCTGGTAATGAATTGTTGAACCTCGTTTAACTCATTTCGCGCTCCTACAAAATTAGTCGCGTTATCACAATATATCCGCTGTGGACAACCTCGTCGTCCCGCAAATCTTCTAAGTGCCGCTATAAACGCATTCGAACTAAGATCGCTCACTGCCTCAAGGTGTATCGCCTTCGTTGAGAAACAAATAAATAATGAGATGTATGACTTGTTTGTCTTTCGACCACGACCTCGGTTGACTAACGTTACAATGGGTCCGGTGAAATCTATTCCTGTTACATAAAATGGACGTCTAGGAATTACCCGATCTGCTGGTAATTGTCCCATTACCTGTGATAGTGGTTTCGGATTATTTCTGAAGCAAGTCATACACTCATGTACAACTTTCCTCGCTAGATTCTTTCCTCGGAGAGGCCAATATTTTTCGCGAATTGCATATAACAATGTTTGCGGTCCTGCATGTAATAGCCTACGATGCTCTCGCTTGAATAATAATTTTGTAAAAGTACTCTCGGCTGGTAGTATAATCGGATGTTTTGTGTCGAATGCGGTCAACGAATTACGAATTCGACCGCCCACCCTGAGGAGTCCTGTTTCATCAATAAACGGACTAAGTAGCGACAATTTGCTTGTCATCTAATTTGCTTTTTTGCCTTGAGGTCTGACACCTCGGTCACGAAATGGAGCCTTTGGATCTCGATAATTATTAATATATTCACCTTGTGAATTTCCTGCAGTGATAGATTTCCCACATTCCGGGTTTCCCTTTTGGTTTTACAATTCCATATAAATCTAAAAATCCACGCTAAAATACGCTCGAGTTTCGTTAAACAAGAATAATTATTTAATAATTGTAAAATTAATTGCTTTGAGTCAACTATTAAAAAAAACTTGGATTTCCTTCTTTTGCTCTGATTCAATAAATTCTGTTTCCGTTTGTGAACAAGTTAGCAATCGATTTGATCCCTTTATATTCTCAAAAAATTCTGACAAAATTTTAGGACCTTCCCACCAAAGACTTGACTCCTTTAATTCTCGTAAACTTGTACCTCGTGAAATCAGATCGGCAGGATTGTGCTCACTCTTGACATGATACCAATTACTTGACGCGACAATCGTTTGAATCTCAGCGACTCGATTCGCAACAAAAGTTTTTTCGCGAGACGGATCGCCTGCTATCCATGCCAACACAATCATTGAATAGCTCCATGCATACATTCCACTGACTTCAATTTTAAGCGCCTCGCATACATGTTTCAACAATCGTACTAAAACAACAGTGCCGCAAAGCTCAAGTCTCGGCAGGGTCGTTGTCTTGCTTTTGATCGGTGCGACTCGAGATTTCGAGCAAATTAATATCGATCTACCCTTGTTATGGTTGTCCATCGTTTGCAAGTATACGCACGCACCGTACGCTTTCATTGAGGCGTCGCAAAACCCCTGTAAATAGAATCGCCTCGCACTCGCACTCGCAATGATTCTACGAGGAACTTGGATCGTATTAATATCATTTAAATCATCAGTATATTCAATCCATGTCTTATGAAGCTTGTCGGTTAGTAAATCGTCCCATTTCAAATTTGCGGCCCAAGTTCCTTGCATAATTAATTTTGCTCTAATTAGTATAGGGCTTATCAATCCCAATGGATCGAACAACCGCGATATTGCAGATAGACCTCTCTTTTCGTTTTACTCGACCTTGTTATGGAATTGACAGAAAACTCAAACACGTCTCGCTCGGGATGCCAAGTCAAACCCAATGTTTTTATATGTGTCTCATTTACATCGCTCGCGACAGTCAACGATTCTTCAATCTGTTCACTAGAGTGTAATTCATGTAAAATTTCTTTATAATTTGATCGCCACTTATGTGGTTCAAATCCTCCATCATTTAAACAATTCCTTTAATTGCTTAATCAAATCGGTTGCCTCGTCAATTGAACTAACACCGGTTAATATATCATCCACGTATAAATCATTGAGTAAGACTTGAGACGCTTGCATCAATCGATCGTCCGCGTTATTTGCCACATGTCTCACGCAACGCACGGCCAAAAACGGAGCACACGATAATCCGTATGTCACGGTGTTTAATCGAAATTCTCGTATAGGTTCGCCCACCGACGACCGCCACAGAATCCTTTGATAATCTTTATCGGCTTCGTGAACCAAAATTTGTCTATACATTTTTTTCAAATCGGCTGTGATTGCAATGGCATGCAATCTAAATCGTAACATGATATCAATTAAATTATCTTGTAATCGCGCTCCGATCATTAAAGTATCGTTTAGTGAGATTCCCGCCGTAGTTCTGACCGACCCATCGAACACTACGCGTAACTTCGTTGTAAGACTAAATTCGTGCAATACGCCGTGATGCGGTAGATAAGTAGGATTCATTATGGTAGATTCGCTGTTCACGATCGACATATGATTTAATTTGATGTACTCTCGCATAAAACTCGAATATTGATTATAAAATTCTTGATTAATTTTGAATTTTCGTTCTAAATAACTCAGTCTTCGTAAAGCTATCTCTCTCGAATCGCCTAACTGATTCTTATTGTCACGGAAAGGTAGTCTGACAACAAACCGTCCCGACACATCACGACTCATCGTGTTTATAAAGTGTTCTTCGCATCGTTGCTCTTCTACGGACAATTTAACCGATTTCTCTGCTGGATATTCTTCTAACTCCCAGAATTTTAAAAGAGTTTCGTTAATTGATTCTCGAATGAACAAACATGAGAGATTTGAAGACAAGTAATTGCTCGATTTATTTGTTATTAAATAATCAGGTATCGGTCCTGAGATTATCCAACCTAACTTACTGTTTTGTAACGTTGGCAAATTATTGTTTAATTCGATTCTTTCCATTGTCAATAATTTAAAGAAAAATTCTCCGCCTATGAGAATGTCGATATTACCCGGATTGTAAAAAAATGGATCCGCCAACTTAATATTTTCCGGAATATGCAACTGCGAGGAATTAATGAAAACTGATGGCAATTTCTTGGTAATTTTCTGAATTACCAAACAATGCAAATCCAACTCGAAGTCTGAGGTTCGTGATTTTAACTTTAGTTGGCAACTATGTTCAACTGTGCAAGTCATATTGCTTAATCCGCTAATCGATTGGCAAACACTGTCCAATTTCAACCCAAGTTTTTTGCAACTAGATAACGTTATAAAATTGACCTCGCTGGCACTATCTAATAACGCACGCAATTGACAATTGTACCCATGTCCCGCAACATCTACAATCGCGGTCGACATAAGAACGCAACTTCGCTGAACCTCTTCTCGCGTATGGTGAACTGCTAGGTCACCCGTTGTAACCCCGGAGGTACCTGGTGTCTCCGAAGTCGCTCGTGCGTTAGCGCTGCTCACCGGCTCCATAGAATAATCTCCTGGCTTATTTCTGAAATTTCCTGAACCGGCTGCATCCCTCGGCTGATGACACAATGTGTTATGCCGATCTCCACATTCTCGACACGAACCCGCCTTGCAGTTCGCGACGAAATGATCGTTGCGGAAACAATTGAGACACAGCTTTAACCGCTTAATTGTTTTGATTTTATCCTCAACAGACAAATTTAAAAATTGGTGACAAGAATAAATT